AATACGCCCTGACCAACCAATACAGTATAACAACGCGTTATACAATGTTTCTATCACTTTAGGTAGTGTAAGTCATCTGGTGCTGCTGTGAAATATCTGAGAGGATGTGGACAGGTTACACGCAAACACTATATGTAAAACCCAAGTGAGGGACCGCGGCAGCCATAGACTTTGGTCCTGTGGGAGGTGCTAGAACCAGTCTTCCTCTGACACCGAATATGGCTCACAGTCACTTTACAATTCATGGTAAACGATTGCTCCCAGAGGGGATTCAGGGCTAGGTGCCTGTCCATCAACCGACTCAAGACCCTGTTTTACATATGTTTAGGTTTAAAAACACCTCATTGAATATACATTTCTTAAAATAAGTATCTTCAACATTAATAATAAAGCACCTGCTGAGAAGAGTTTAACGCTGCCTTGGTTCCTGTGTATCACAAGATCCCCAATCCACTGGGCTTCCAGCCTATCCGTTGTATTCTTCTTTAATTGCGCACCTTCTCGCGAATCTGTAAATTTAGCCACATTCCTGTTGTTTCTGTGACCCCATCACATATGGCAGATGTCCCTTCAGCGCTTTCTGGAGTGGCCACACACATGAACGGCTGAGTTGTCTCCACCTTTGTCTGGCTGCACCACACCGTTGACCCATCAGCACCGCACTTACGACTGGCAGCGCTCTACCCGCCGAGCAGAGGTTATCTACCACACGCGCTTTCTTCATAACGCACTGCACGGTCTTCTGGCCCTTGGGAACACTGGCCGGCACTCCAGCACCACCCTTGAGGGTCATTTTCACCACCAAGCCTTAAAAAGTCACCAGCAAAAAGCACAAACAGCAAGGCGCTGGGTGCATCATGATACGAGTACAGTGTGAGAGCTGGAAAAGGCAGGTAGAAGCCCTGCTCGGCCGGAAGCACGGAAGCTGCCGTATCTCACTGCAGAGGCGCGTGAGTACTGACTTTAGGGTTACAAACACATTTCAGCAAACAGGAGATTCACAGACACGGAATCCGTGGGTAAGGGCCAACGTGCGTTCTGTTTGCGGAACGCCCCTACCAGTAGGCTCTGTGGAACCCTGAATGAGGCTTCCCAAGACTGGCAGTTCATCTCTTCGATCTGAAAAATGTTCTACAGTGAAGTTCCACGTTACCTCATGACACTATCTTTGTACTATATTTGCCAAAGTTTCCTCAATCGACACACATCTCCGAAAGCAACTTTTTACCTAAAAGTCACTCATATATAGATCTCGTTCCCTACCATGTATGTCTTCCACAATTTGAGGAGTCCCCTCTCCCTTGTGCCTCACACCACTCCCCACCCCAAGGCAGGCCTCCCAGGCCCATGGGACACGCGCAGGTGGACAGGCTGCCTGCAAATGCAGCCTTTTCAACGCGTACAGCACCGGACAGCCCAGAAGGCTGTAGCAGTCACATTCCCACTTACTGTCACACAGAACAATTCGCTTTCCACACGAGTCAGACTAAAGCAGTGCCTTCTGACAGTTCATCCACCCTGCCTGAGGAGAAGGAATTACCCGAGTGAAACTTTCTGTACCCAAAGCAATGGAAAGGTGACAGATGAATCAGCCATTCATGTCTTAAATGTGCTGCCAAAATGATGAAAATTGCTGGAATTCAAAGGAAAACAGGCTAAAGAAAACATCCGCAACAAAAAAACATAAAGGGCTTCTATGAAATGGAAAAGCATCAAAACACCGAAAGATAAAAGACACAAATCAAACATTCATAGGAGACGAAAGGCAATTAGATAAGACAATCATGGGAAAAATTGTCAATGTAGATGCACAGCATGGGAATTTACCCTCAGGCAATGTGCCAAAAGACAGAAGCAGGATTTGAATAGACCTGTCTTTAACAGCAGGGAAAATGCCGTCTGTCTACAGCCTGTGTACCCGTGGCAGGGTGTGCATGGATACATATGGTATATCACCCAAGTGGAACATTAAATGGCCAGTAAAAGGAACCAAGAAAACCATATGACAAGATGGAGAAGTGTTTATGATACATCCAATCTTAAAGGCTGGGTGACACAATAACTCCCGAGATGTAACAACGGCTGAGGGACTAATGATCAGTTCTACGGTCTGTAAAGGAACACCGAAAAATGAGAAGAGCCTATATTGCTGGGGTGGTGGTTACCAGGGCGAACACGTTTCACTCCCCCATTTCTAATTCTACTGCACTTATTTGTCATTGATGCGATGACTTAATAAACACTCTTCAGGACAGGTTGAATTTCCCTTTTCCAAAAATCTTGGCATCGGAAGTATTTGAGACTCGAGATTTCTTCTTTCAGATTTTGGAATACTGGCTTGGGAATGGGACGGGAGTCTAAATACAAAATTCATTTGCTTTGTGTTCACTCACATGTATAGCCAGAAGGGAAATGTATAGAACAGTTTCTGTGCACCTGCATTTCGACTGCGATTTGTCTCAAAAGGTTAGGTGTGGGCTTTACCACTTGTAGCATCTGGCATATGCTCGAGTGCGTCAGATTTTGGATTTTCACATTAGATTCACTCAGCCTATTCTCTCAAAAGCACCCAGCTTTTCAAGCTTCAAGATGTAAAGGGAAGTGAAGGCGCTACGTAATTGCTCCTCCAGCTGAGTCTCCCATAGCATTGCTCCTCCAACTTGCATGCGGCAGCTCACTGAAATTCACATTAAGATACAGAGTTCCAGCCGGGTGTGGTGGCGCACACCTGGGATACCAGCACTTGGGAGGCTGAGGCAGGAGGATCCCTGTGAGTTCAAGACCAGCTTGGGATAGACAGTGAGTTCCAGGTCAGTCTCAACTACATAGTGAGACCCTGTCTCAAACAAAACAAAACAAAACAAAAAAGGTACAGAGTTCTGGGGCGCTGTACTGCCTCACAAGCGCAAGGTCCCGAGTTCAATCTCTGGTACCAAGAGAAAAAATGATACAGAGTTCTGAAGTGGGCCCCCACTGCTTTACAAAGTGATGGTCTACAGTGTGGAAGCAGCCAATATCGCCCTTGTCTCCCTTGAGACTGCTTGTTGCCGCAGCCTTAACAGTAGGCGGCACTGCACTGACTGCACTGGTGGCTCTGGGAACTCAGAGATCGCCGTGGGTGTCAGCAGCATCCAGAGTATTTGTCTTCACTGGCTCCTGGCACAGCCTAACCGTGTCCAGGGCAGCAAGGAATTCACGCGGGGGAAGCAGGCTGTGATTTCAAACGCACACCACCAAATCGCTCAGGGCACACCCTTCATATGGAATCCTACTGTCAGGACCACCTCTACCACCAGCCACTCTTCTTGGTCCCCCTGGAGAGTTCTTCACCCTCTCCTGCGTGCCAGGTCTACAGAGGCCTCAGGTGCGTGCAGGGTCCATTGGCGAGGCTCTTACTCAACCCTGACCCGGGAGCTGTGGGGCTTCCCCCAGATGGAACTAGTTTGTGAACAAATGAACAGATGAATGAATGAATGAATGTATGAAAAAAAAAAAAACCTGAACAATCATCCCCCAGCTTAAATGAGCTTTTCCAGAATCCAGGATAAAAGAACTTGCTTTAAGGACACGCATACTAATTAGGAGCTGAAGCTCTCTGCTTTTCCTGTTCAACGTCTCTTCTCTGGAGAACAGACTTCCTCCTGGTCCCGCACAATGGCGAGGGACTTCCTCCTTCTCCACGCACCCTCTGACAGGAACCCCTACCCCTCACTGGACCAGAAACCTTCAACCCAGAGGTCTGTGGAGCTTCACTCAAACTGACATCTGGTGAGCAAGAAGTAGAAAAAGCAAAACTCACCAGGCTCCAAAGATAATTTTATCCTGACAGGATCTTTGACTTGGATGCCATTTTCTCCAGCAGAATGTGGTATGTCACAGGCTCTGTGTGACCTACGTCAGTCCCTGTGGTGCCATCACCACTGCTGGGGAGGAGTCTGGGTGCCACAAAAGACGGAGGAAAGAGGACGGCTCACTGGCCTAAAGCCCAGACCCAGGGCCCGGAGCCACCTGCCCTTTCTTTACACCACACAGCACCCCCAGAAAGCAGAATGACTGAGTGACAGGAACACTTCCACAGTGAAGTCAATTCCTACTTAACCTTTAGAAAGAACATAAGATGTCAAAACTACAAGAGCCAGAAATCTAACAGCGAGTCAATACGATTTATAGTCCAAATATAAGCCTTTGCTGTATATTACATATATTTTATACACTACATGTTGTATACAATCAAACTCATGAACTCTTCCAGGAAAAAACAATTAAGGCTTTTCAAGCAGCCCACAGAGCGGGCCAATACAAGTTCAAATCTTTATATCCCCATGATGGGTTCTTCTGTTTTTTTTTAATGTCAGTTTTTTAGATGTGTTTATTAGAATACATGTTTACTTTGCTTGAGTTGAAAGAAAATATAATTATTTTTACAACCATTGCCCACATTAGCATTCATTTCTTTTCCAAGACTTTGTCAGGCTTACAAATAATGATTTGCAAAACAGAGTCGCTATTCATAGCTAACTGCCCACTGGCGCAGGGCCTGGAGCTTTCAGAGAGAGAAGCCTGAGGCCAGGGCCGCTGTGAGATACACTCGGGCCTCCGCCCCTTGCCCCGGCCATCCCCCAGCTTCACCCAGGCCATGCTGGCTGGAGGCAGCCACCCTGCAGAGGCGAGGGTCTGTCCTCACCCCATGCTCTCCTGCTGTGAGCAGATCCAGGGCAGCGGGCCAGAAACTGAACCTTCTGTGGGGTGGGGAGGCACCAGCTGCCAATCGGCCTCACTGTGGGACTTCCCTGGTGTCCCCTGAATCTCAGGGGGACACTAAGAGTGGCCAAACATCCAGAAACATTCATGTAACTGAGCCGACAAAGAGCAATTTGCGGACTGTGAATCAGACAGCAGCCCACTCCTCCGGCTAACACCACCCCTTCGCCTGGCACAGCTCCAGCACCTGCGGGGCTCATGAACCCCTCTGCTCCCTCCCCGGGACAGCCACTACCTACCTGCTCCTGGGCCCACTTTGACCTCTCCTCTGGCGTCCTGACCTTGGTCTTGAAGCCTCTCTGGGGATCTCCGGGGTGCTTGGCCTCGGGAGGCAGGTTCAGCGACTTGGGCCTGGCCTCGTGCCGGCTGGGCCCCCGGCTGGCCTGGCCGGGCGTGCAGGCCTCTGCGGGGTCCCCAGGCCCCAGATCGGGCATGTGCTCAGGGCTGGCCTCACTGGCGCTGGTGATGCTGGTCATGCTCAAGCTCATCTTGATCTCGGCTACAATCTGGTCGATGTCCTCCTCTTGGTCCTCCAGGTCCCCATCCCCGCGCCTTGGGCGGTAGGGGGAAGCACTGCCCGCGTTGCCATTGTCTTCCGGGGGATAGTAGTCCTGGTAGCCCTCTTTGCTGGAGCAGTAGTGGCCACCTTCTTCCTGGTCCTGGACCTCCAAGATGGAGGGCTCGTCCTCCGGAGCGGGCAGGTGGCCATCCGGGTAATCTTGGCTGCCTCCAGCCCCGTGGCCGTGGGGGTGCGGGCCCGCTGAGTCTGTCCACTCCTCCACGGCCTCCTGGCACTCGTCAGTGTCCACGGGGTGCGTGCCGTGGGCCAGGTACTCCTCCCCGTGGCAGTCCACGCCCTCCAGGTAGCTGTCGTCCTCTGGACAGTAGCGGATGTAGTAGGTGATGCCCTCCTCCTCTTCGGGGAGGCCCTCGTCGTCCTCCTCCTCTTCCTCCTCCTCGGAGGTGTTGTTCACATAGTCAGAGCTGGAGTCCCCGTCAGGGCTGTGGTTGTGGCACTCCTGCTGCTCGGGCGTGGGGCTCTCGGGCCTCAGGGTGGCCAGCGCTAGGCCCGTGGGCACATAGCCCTCCAAGGGCAGCTCTGCATCCTCCCCGTCGGGCTCCTGGCCCTGGGGGACGGGGCCCGGCCTGGCCCTGTGGTCAAGCATGCTGTTGGCAGTGCTCTGGCAGGTGCGGTGGGCCATGGCAGATGCTCAGGCGGCCATCGTCACTGCAGTCAGCCTCTGTGGGGAGGAACGTCAGAGAGAACAGTCAGAACTCGGACGCCACAGCCAACCCGAGGAGCGGCGCCCGGCCACCCTGTCTGCTCAGAGCAGAGCGGATGCAGGTCCCTTCAAAGGCTGTGACATCCCGGCCGGCGGCCTCAGGGCCAGGAGCCATGTGCGACCGTGGCAAGGAGCACAGGCAGAGCCCCGGGGGGCGGTGGGGAGGAGAAGCAGCCACAACCACGGGACGCCTGCTCCAGCTCTCAAAACTCGCAGTCCCCGAGATCTTCCTACAAGGCCCACTCCATTAGGCAGCCCGGGTGACGAGACAGCGTCACAGGATCGGGTCAGCTGCTCTCAGATGAGAAGAGCGGAGCCTTTCATCCAGAAGGACACAGCCATGGGAGACCAGGGGCTTCTTCAGGCTGGGCCCGTGCTCCTTGACAAGGTGCACTCGTACCAAAACGCCACGCTGCGCCCTAGAATGGGCACAATTACTACAAGTAAAGTGAAATAAAAACAAATGAGTGAATAAAGCACATTAGGGAGGGGGACTGTGGGAGGTTCCATGTAGAAATGAGGGCCAGTATTTTTCCATATTTTTAAATATTGTTCCAACTTTTTTTAAAACCGCATGAATGTATTGCTTGTAGTATAGAATACATTTTTTAAAAACCCCTGTATATTAACACAAGAGCTAAATAAATCCAGAGTTCCTTGAGGACCATCTCAGTCCACCCCCTGCTTTGTTCTCCCCTCCCAACTCCAAACCAGACGCCTTTCGTTCACAGAGGGGTGAGACGGGCAGGGGTCACCGTGGCTGAGCAAGGCACAGGGAAGCGCAGCACAGACGCCCAGCACCAGCGAGGGGAGGTCAGTGCCCTGAGGTGCAGAGTGGTGCAGAGCAGAGCAGTGCAGCGACGGAGAAGAGAGCCCAGCATGCACCACGGCGGGCAGGATGCGTGACCCCGAGGTTCACACGGGAGCGGGCTTGAACCCCACTGCACGGCGCTCTGCTTTATTCCCCAAGCCAAGCAGAGCCACAGGGCATAACAGATGGGATTGTTTTTTTCTTGTACTGGGGACTGAACCTAGACTCCTATGGCTGTGGAGGACATGGGAAGAGCTAGGATCAGGAAAAGGTAAAAGAGGGTGATGAAATGTTTGGCCAGGGTTCTATTTTTATGTTGAATTGCTACGCAAGTGTTCACTTTGTCCTTTAAACCATACTTTTACACTATACATGAACTGCAATGGTTTATTTTTTTTTAAAGTGCATTCTAGTAGTCCAGTAAAGAAATGAATACTTAGCTAGGCATGGGGGCACACACCTGTGACCCCAGCTACTCCGGAAGCTGAGGGAGGAGGATGGCAAGTTCCAGGTAAGCCCGAGAAACTTAGCAAGAACCTGTCTCAAGAAAATGAAAAGTAAAAGACTGGGGGCTTAGCTCAGGGTGAGATCGATCCTGAGTTCACTCACCAGTACTGTGAAGAAAAAGAAAATAAATAAATAAATAAATAAATGGGAACCTGTGTATTTTAAAAATGGTACGATGATGAATTTTAGGTTTGTCTATTTTGCCTCAAAGAAACAAATTTTTGAAAAAAAAAAAAGAGATCTTAAATTAAAATAGTGGCAATGAGAGAGGAAGGCTCAGTGGGTACTGAGGCGGAGGAAACCATGGGACCTGGGGTCAGATGGAGGGTATGAGGGCAGGAAGGTGCCACCAGCAAGGCCCAGGGTAGCACTGCCCAGGCTCTGTGCTCACATCCCCCACATCCTCTTTCTTCCTGTCCCCAGGGGGCTCGGAAACTTAAGGCTTTTCACATCCTGTGTCTCCCAGCGCTCACACAGCAGTCTGGCTTGCAGCAGTGCCCAAAACACATCTCACTAGGAGACGGCCTTACCAGATGGTCACAGTCACAGCGCTACGAACATTCCCAGAAGAGCTGAGAAGAGGCAATTATCTCATCCAATGTAGACACTCGGGGTGTGAGCACAATTACTGATGGGGACACATGCCGCCAGCACGTGAGCTCACACCCCAGAAACTCAGCCTGTGCTCCTGGGCCCACAAGGGGACCACAAGTGGTGGCTTTTTGGTAACAGTACTGGAATGCCACAAGTTCACAGTACCTCCAGAGTGGCCCACGCCAGGAAAACTATCAATGAGAAAGAGCCGGTAGGGCTCAAACATCTAGTTCTAGAGTCACTCCACTCCGAACTCTGAAGGGGCAGAACAATTCCGAAGACCTGGGCCCAGGAAGAACACTGGGGGTCCAACATTCACCACACACTACAACCTGAGCACACACAGGGAACAAGCCGCCTTAAGGATAAGACAGGACCGCACAGCAGGCTCCTGACATCCCAGAGGACAGGCTGCAGGCGTGCTATGAAGAACTCAGCAATCCCAATTCTGTACACAGTCTCCAGAAACAGCGATCCCTCAGAAGCATGTGCTGAAGGCCGTGCTAACCGGTGACCGCAGATGTCCACGCCTCGTCCGTCAGGGTGGAGGAAGGCAGATGGTGTCAGCGCTACCGGCAGGTGAGCACACAGCTCCTGCTACCTGGGGGATGAGGAGCGATCCTATCTCCACAGCGTCCTGTATCTCCCGAAGGCTTGACACCAGGCCAGGTGCACTGCAGATACACACACCCTCCGCACCCACAGATTCTGCACCCATGGGTTCAACCAAATGCCGGCCGAAGGTATTTTTTAAACACTTCATCTGAACCAAATACGCACAGATCTTCTACCTTCATCTACCTTCAGATCTTCTACCTGTCATAATTCACTAAAAATTCAGTCTAACAACTATTTACATGGCATTCGCACTGTATTAGATATTACCAGTCATCTGGAGATGGCTCAAGGTACGTGAGAAGATTTGCGCAGATTCTATGCAAATATCGTGCCACTTCACGTAAGAGATGAGAGCATCCTTGGGGTCTTATATCCTCAAAGGAGCCTAGAACAAATCTCTGGAGGATCCCAAGGACAACTACACTCCCATTCTTGTGAGAGAACAAAGTACACAGCGTCTGACCACCCTCACTTCAAGCTCTCTGTCCTTCTGAAGATAAAATCTTCACACATACACTCTTAGACATCTGTGCACCTAACCCTATAGTGACCATCTTTGAGGTGAGTAAGACTTAAGGACTAAGATATACCTGCTACAGTAATGTGGAACAACCCTCCTTTCCATGAGTACATTATCTAGGTTTTTAAAAAGTAAATCACTCCTGTGACTAAGGTGGTGGCCCCAAGTCTTAAAGGCTGGGTCCCCACCCAGCCTGGGATGCTACTGGAAGGCAGTGGGAACTTCAAGAGACAGGGCTAGCACGAGGTCCTCCAGCCATTGGAGGGGTGCACTGAAGGGGACCTGGGGACCCAAGCCCCTTCTTCCTCCTCCCAGCTTCCCGCCCGGGCTAGGAGGCAAATGCTTTGTTCTACCACATGCTCACCACTGTCACGTGCTGCCTTGCTGCAGGCTCAAAGTGACAAGGCCCAGTATCACAGACAGGAGCTAAAAGGACTCTTTCCCTCTTAAAAGTTGGTTAACCAGATATTTGGAATGGTAATGCAAAGCTAACACAGTCACTGAGGTGGTATCGTAGGAGAGCGAGGGGAGAACCAGGAGTTTATTGTCTGCCACTGCCTTCTGTTCCTTCTTGAAGCCTTAAACAATTTCAGGAGGATTTCTTCCAGGTACACAGTATTACCAGCAACCGTGGACTTGGGCTGTAATTACTCAATTCATTGCTCATCGCTGCTTCTTGTACTCTGTGTATTTTTTCTCTCTTGAAAGATTTGTTACAATCTCATTTTATTTTACCAGAATAATTGCTAAGGTCCTTGTACAGATAATCCTTTTATGTCTCAGAAATGGTTTCTGCTCACACAGAATATTTTTTGGATGGCATCCTTACTTGCTATGCTCTGCTAACACAGTTCCAGCTGCACCTTTCAGGATGCAGACATGCTGTTTGATACTAATCTTATTTGTTTTACCTTGGAATAAAAATCTAATCCTTCTCTGGAGTCTTGTACAATTTTCTCTCCATTCTTAGAGTTCAGAAATTCCACTGGAGTATGTCTACATGATATTAATCTATGAGGATTCACTTGGGGAGCCCTTTCTGTACAAGCCCACTTCTGCCTTACCTATAGGAAACTTTCTGCTATTTCTTTTTTCCCCTTCCCTCCCACAGCCTTTTCCTCCATCTGATCCATTTCCAGGCTCAGGCCTTCACATCACTTACATTGATAACATTTCTTTCATCCCTTTTTTTTTTTCTGCATTATAGAGATCAGTTCCTCCGCTTGACCTTCCAAAACACCAATTCAGTTTCCAGCAAGACACAACACGTGGCCCGGCTTTGCTCCTTCTGCTGGCAAAGGGCCCCTGTGACCCAGGGCAGCCTCTCAGCGAGGGGCGGACTGAAGGGTAGTATTATGTACAGTGGGGGACAATGTTGTGGTGCCTTGGCAGTAGTAGGGTTGGCCACCTGGATCTTCAGAGTGGAGACGTGAAGAGACTCCTCTCTTTTGTAGATATGGACAGCAATGAGCTGCCCTAGGCCAGATCTGCTTCCTTCAGGGGAAAAGGTCTCCACACGGTCAGTTTTCTGCTGTTGTGACAAAACGCTGAAATAATCATTTATAAGTTTATTTTGGTTCACTTTTTCAGAGGTTTCAGCTCCTCGATGTATAATGGGGTTACATCCAGATAAGTGCCTCATAATTTTTAAAATGTTGTAAGTCAAAATGCATTAAATGTACCTTAGGAACTCCACATCATAGCCTACCTTCAGCATGCTCAGAACATGCCAGCCTACAGGCAAAACCACCTACTACAAAGCTTATAATAAAAGGTTGCCTCTCTCACGTAATTTGTTGAATATTGGGCTGATTGTGAGAAACAGAATGGCTACATGAGTATGCTTTATTACCAACACAGAGTCAGAACTCAGAAGTTGTGAGATGAGCTGTCTGTATAGAATTCTTC